AAAATCCTCAGTAGACAACCATGTAAGTCCACCTCATATGTCAATGTTATGATACAACGACTGGTGGCGTAGCTCCCAACTCTTGTTTTTCCCCCCTTGTTTTTTAAACCCATGGCAGGAAGTGGTATCCCATAATCTTTTGACATACACCGTACTAGAGAAGGGTTGAACGTACGCGTAATATTAGGGCACGAAAGGATTGGTAGAAGGTTAAATCAGTTTTTTTTTTTCTTTTCTTTTTTTCCAAGATACCGGGGGTAGAGAGAAGGACGCGCCGTTATCTCCTGTCTGTAAAATCTCCCGTGTCCGGTGCTGGCCTAGCGTCTGTATTCACGTGATAAAGAGAGTGCTGGAGAATCTGATTCGAATTCCAAACACTACTGTTTCTCTTGTCGCGTGCACTATCGCTGTCACCATGTCTAAAGGAGAATAAACTATACACTGCAATACATCTACTACACTGAAAAAAAAATTAATGCCCTATTTGTCACTGTTACACTGAGACTGAGACCATTCTACTATTCATTTTAATATTACTAACAACTATCGTTTATACCATGCCCCCACCCCACAATAAATAAGCACAAATCATTCCAAAAATGTTATATATAACACATACAACATTTATCGTTGTCCGACAGTTTGAAGATTTCCCACTGCTATCACAATTATATAATATTCACAGAAATATTATTACTTTCACTGCTCCATAAAGAACAGCCAGCTCCAAAAAGATAATATCATTTATTAAAGTGACTTCATGAGTGGTAAATGTCATTTGAATGTCAGCTAATTTTTCCTGCATTTACCCACAAAACATCGCCAACACTGAAACCTCTTTAAAAAGTCAACCGCCCAAGAAAACGGACTATTTTTTCTTTCTAGCAGATGACCTCTAACCTTTTGAAATTCCGGAGAAACTTCTATCACAGTTGCAAACGTCCAATACTAATGTCCAATAATCTATTTACAGAAACACTGTGGACTTCAGTGTAACTCAAAATCAGATACGAACACGTCGTGGATCCATACGAAATACTGCCGCATGATACTGCAATATACTGAATTATGGATGGACTGGACCGCCATCAGCAATTAGAATACAAGTAACGAGGAATCGCACGCATTACGACAGATGCAGAAAAGGTGTGAATGAGAATGAATGTTTTGTAAAGATATTCTCTCTCATCCATACCTATCCTACAATTACAGACAACGTTGTATTGTTTCTGTTATACAAACACCGATCAATTTTACGCACGCACGTATCACATAGGCCTACATAAGTATTGTAGCCCAACCCCCTACCAAATATAAACATGAAATCCCAGGTCAATCTGTGATCAACTACCAAATTGAATATCTTCGAGATTTCATCAGACTTTGACTTCGATTTCTATTTTTCACATATTCTATCCATATATATTTTTTTTCCTTTTCACCCGCAGCTAGAAATTCTCCCCAGCTTCGGCGTCCAGAGGAATTCATTAGTAATCGCTGGTTTTGAGCATCGGATGCAATGCCAGCAGTATTTTTCTTGGGAAAATTGTGTAAGATGTTGATACCCTGCCAGGGAGTACTCTTAGTCTTATACCCATGGGTTATTTTGGGACATTAGGCAAGTTTCTTTCAGAAAAGTGTTTGTCATCCGGAGCACCCTAAAAACGTTTAGAAAAACATGCAGAGTCAGTTGTCTAAATTCCTCACTTTCAGACCGGCATCAGCTGATACAGGTGCGATCATAATCATTCTCAAATACGCCCCAAAAGTTAAAAAAAAAAGAAAAAAAAAAGAAGAAAAAGTTATTTTTTGTATCACAATGATACCGTGTTCTCTCACTCTTCTATTTACGTATCATTTCCCTTTTTCCTACAAGCTTGCACTTTCCTCGTCTCTAGAACGCGCTAATCTATTTTCGGACGGTTTTTGAATCGAAAAATAATAAGAAAACAAAAAGCGTCTCGCCAAATAAGCTCATTCAAATCAGGTCCGTTTCGCCCAGGTAACCTCCACGTCTGTATGAATTTCCGTTTGACACACATATTATGTATGAAGGGGGGGAGGGGAAGGGGAGGGGAAGGGGAAGGGGAAGGGAAGGGGAGGGAAGGGAAGGGGGGAGGGGGAGGGGAAGGGGAGGGGAGAGGGAAGAGGGGGGATAGTCCGCGGCTTCTCACTGGACCATTACATTCTTCCGCCTCTTCCTCCCGCCTCCATTCACAAGTGTCACAGAATGCTTTAGAGACGACAAGCATCACAGTCCTTCTGTAAATTGTAGGAGAGAAACAAAACCTTCTAATATTTATCTCTTTCTTTAATCACTTGTAACGGCTTATTTTTTTCTTGAGAACCGTCTCCTGTGATGATTGTGGCGGGGGGGAAATGATGCTTTACACAGAGAGAGGTCCGGCAATGGTGGCGATATTGCATAAGCGGAGACAATACAAAATATCTTTATCAATATTCAGCACCCATCCGGAGGCAATGCAAACTACACTTTCTTAACGTTCTGAAAGAAATCCGACTTCATCTTCTCCGATGTTTATACTTTCAGAAACACACCAAAACGACTAGAAACCGTAACTCGCGTTCGTATTTATCAAACCAGAGCGACTCCAACTGGACCCAGCTCAACTTAATCCAACCTAAACGATCTACCGCGAGCTACCCTCACCTTAAACGTAAACCCAAATCCAAGCCAACCTTACCTGAACGACACTAACTTAACCCAAGCTAATCCAACCCAGACTTGCCTAATTTCCTTTTGGTGTCTGACGTTACACCGAGGACCTCCATTTGGCCCATGAAAACACCTGTTTGTTTGTTTCCCTTTTGTATTCGAACACCCAATTCTGTGATGTTTCTAATAAATGTAATTCTTATGAATGTCATCACGTTTGTTTGTCATCACACATACATACGTACATACATATATATATATAACAATAATCATAAAAATAAATATATATAAATCAAATCAAATAAAATAATAAAGAAAAAATATATATACATTATATGCCTTTGATAGGGAAAGCTGATGAAGAAGGCTGGGTGAAGGAGGAGGTGGTGGAGGAGGGGTTGGTGGATGAGGGTGAGGATGAGGAGGGGTGGGTGAATGAGGATGAAGAGGAGGGTGTGGGTGGAGGAGGAGTTGGTAGTGGTGGTGGTGGTAGTGGAGGAATAGGTGGAGTATGGGTTAGTGGTGGTGCTGATGGTGTGTGGAAGAGGGAGGAGGGGGGGAGGAGGAGGAGAAGGGGGTAGGAGGAGGAGGTGCAGGTGGTGGTGGAGAGAGGTGTGGTGGGAGGAGGGTTGGTGGTGGTGGTGGTGGTGGTGGAGGGGTGGTGGTGTGGAGGAGGGGTGGTGGTGTGGTGGTGGAGGACTAGGTGGAGTAGGTTAGTGGTGGTGGTGGTAGAAGAGGGAGGAGGAGGAGGTGAGGAGGAGGAGGAGGTGCAGGGGGAGGAGGAGGAGGTGCAGGAGGAGGAAGAGAAGGTGCAGGAGGAGGGAGGAGGAGGAGGAGGAGGGGAGGAGGTGAGGAGGAGGAGGGGGGAGGAGGTGCAGGAGGAGGAGGAGAGAGGAGGTGAGGAGGAGGAGAGAGGAGGAGGAGGAGATGCAGGAAGAGGGAGGGGAGGAGGAGGAGGAGGAGGAGGAGCGGAGGGAGGAGGAGGAGGGAGGAGGTGGTGCAGGAGGAGGAGGAAGAGGAGGAGGTGCAGGTGGAGGAGGAGGTGCAGGTGGAGAAGGAGGAGGAGGAGGAGGTGGGCAGGAGGAGGAGGAGGTGCAGGAGGAAGGAGGAGGAGGAGGAGGTGCAGGAGGAGGAGGTGCAGGTGGAGGAGGAGGAGGAGGAGGAGGAGGAGGAGGAGGAGGAGGAGGAGGAGAGGAGGAGGTGAGAGGAGGAGAGGAGGTGCAGGGTGCAGGTGAGGAGGAGGAGAGGTGCAGGTGGCAGGTGGAGGAGGAGGAGGGCAGGTGCAGGTTGGAGGAGGAGGAGGAGGTGCAGGTGGAGGAGGAGGAGGAGGTGCAGTGGAGGAGGAGGAGGAGGTGCAGGTGGAGGAGGAGAAGGAGGTGAGGTGCAGGTGGAGGAGGAGGAGGAGGAGGTGCAGGTGGAGAAGAAGGAGGAGGAGGTGCAGGTGGAGAGAGAGGAGGAGGAGGTTGCAGGTGAGGAGGAGTGCAGGTAGGAGGAGGAGGTGCAGGTGGAGGAGGAGGAGGAGGAGGTGGAGGAGAGGAGGAGGAGGGAGGAGGAGGAGGAGAGGTTGGTGGAGGTGGAGGAGGAGGAGGAGGAGGAGGAGGAGGAGGAGGAGGAGGGGAGAGGAGGAGGAGGAGGAGGAGGAGGAGGAGGTGAGGTGGAGGAGAGAGGTTGGTTGGAGGAAGGAGAGGGGCGAAGGAGGAGAGAGACGAGGTTGGTGGGAGGTGGAGGAGAGAGGTTGGTGGGGGGAGGAGCAGGAGGAGGTTGGTGGTAGAGTGGAGGAGAGAGTGGAGTGGTGGAGGTTGGTGGTGGAGGAGGAGGAGTTGGTGGTGGAGGAGGAGGGTTGGTGGTGGGAGGAGGGGGTGGTGGAGGTGGAGGAGGAGGAGGAAGAGGAGGGAGCAGTAGCAGCAGGAGGAGGAGAAAGAGGAGGCTGGGGGTTGGTGGTAATAACTGTGGAAAGAAGAAAGGTGGTGAGGGTAATGATCTCAGGTGTTGGTGCAGGTGAAGATGAAGGCAATTTCTCCGACTCAACGTATGGCACCGCAGATCTCTCTCCTTTCAACTAGAATTGACAGACATACACAAACACACGACAAGAACCAAACTTACAGGACAATGATTTCAAAATGACCAAATAGCCTGAGCTTGAATTAAAAACACAGGCAGAGAAATGAACGAAATGACCCCCAGTCCGAGAGGAGTGTGCGGAGTGACCGGTACCTCCACCAGGCTTAGTCTAAAAATTCCTCGATCCCTAACCGCCATTCCTCATCTCATTCCCCCTCAGCAAAGACCTCTTCCCCTTAGCTTCCACTCTTACCCGTACCTTGAACTTGTCATAGGCCGTGTTGAGCTCCAGGCGATGCACGAAAGGGTTAAGCAACTGCGAAGTCTCCTCGATCAACGGCGCGCTCTCCTCCTCCTTGCCTTCTTTCTCGCTCATCTTGTTACACATTTGCCACTTCGTCTGGCCGATTTATCTCAGAAAAACCACAGAGGGGGGGCTCTGGGAAGTGAGGAGGAGCTGTGGCGCCTTGGGAAGGGGGTTGGTCGCGAAACACGGGAGTAGAAGGGAATTTTCTATTCTCTCTCTCCCTCGACTCCTCCAAAGACACACGAGAAAAAAATAAACAAACACAAAAAAACGTTTCCCTGTCTACCACGAGGAACCGCGTCTCACATAAGTAGGAGGGGGAAATTAAACCAAAGCATCATGTTATCTCCAATCCTTCACAAAATCCAACTGTCTTTTTTTTTACATTTCGTCCCGAGTGTTTTTTGTGAAGAGCGACGCACACACTTCTTCCTCTGCGAGCGAGCATTGACGACTGAGTTGGTGATGTTGAGGATCGTCCGAGGTGCGCGGGCGGCGTGCGCAAGGGCGGTCTAAAAAGGAGGGTATATTTTAAAGCAAAATAATTAAAATATTAAGTGAATAATAAGTCTTATTTTGAATCCTTAACAAAATGTATATCTAAAATATATTTTATTAACCAAGAAAAGAACCATACGCCAAGTCTGGACGGAAGAGGGATCGAATACCATAACAACCCAAGACTCGGAGGGAAAAAAAACTATAACCCAACAAGATTTAATTCAAGATAAAACATATGAATACGACTGTAGTCCAAATCTCTTCCAAAACACAAAAACTACTCTTCACCGAACTTAAAGACATCCTGCGATGAAAAAAGCCATCCGTTCAAACACCGAAAGCGATTCTAACCCCTTATACAAAGACTGCGATTCCTTCCCCTCTCTTGGCAAATGTAAACAGAGCAGCCTCTCAGAAGCGAGTGAAGTGAGTCTCGTAAATTAGTCTAATTGAAGTGATCAGTCTTAGAAAACATCCTTTGAAGGCGCTGTCACGTCCTTCCCGAGCCAAAAACAGAGCCATTAAGGGATATAGAGAGGAGATTTAGGTCTCTTTGGCATCTCTAAGGTTGTTACTTGGTTTGAAGAAGGGGGTGAAGTGCGGGAGAATATCAACAGGTTGATTCTAATATATATATTTTAAGGAACTTCTAAGTACTTTGGGGAAATAAAGGTGTTGATTGTTTTCATTTTCTTGGTTTTGTTTGTCTCGTTTTGTTTGCATATATTTGAAATACATTTGGGTTTTTAAGTGTCTCCTTGACCTTAATTTTACACGACTTGGGTGTGATTCAGTTTTTAAAATATTTATTTCTAAAGCTAAGGAAATTTGCATTTGTTATTATAAAGATTGGGGATTATTTCACTGGTATATATTTCCTCACATAAATTTCTTGCAAATGTATCTCCTCATCACTTTCGGGCTGAAAATTAGATATATTTCTCATATTAATTTTTTCTTTGTCTAGTAAGTAGTAAAATTCTATGGCAGTGGTTTACAAAATTCCAAAATAAGTCTTCAAAGTCATAGAAGTTGGTCCAAATCTGCTGAAAACTTCCTGTGATCTTCAATGGATAGCCTATAATCCTAAGTGAAACCCCATTTATGTGCAATGTCAAGGGATTAGTTTGACCACCATGCATTTGGTGCTCCAGCAAAGGACAATAAGTTTGTTGGACATTCCAGCAAAATGTCATGTAATGAGGAGCGACCACGGCGTCTAAAAGCAATATTTTGCGTGGTTGTAAATGGTGGAGTTTTGTTGCCAGATTGAAGTGCAAATATTGTGACATTGTTTGATGGCTGATTCTCGGAACCTTGATAAGCATCTTCAGTTTTGTCATTAGCCTTCGTTCTAATTGCTATATCAAACCAAATATCGTTTAGATTTTCATTATATCCATTGTTTGGGATTCTCTTGTCCATCCTCTTCTGGATGATGACCTATTTAAAAGAAATTAAGATTAACTAATTAATAAAGCCCATTGATAATTAATAAAGTCAAAAGGACTAGAGAGCATTATATAATTGTTAACCTGCATACAGTATATTTCACTCTTATCGTATAGTATTGTAGCTGGATGGATTCAGTACCATACACATTAAGATTCTTCGCAGATCAATATGACAATAAAAATTCATGTAGGATTAATACAAGGAAGAGCTTGGGTACTTATAATACGTTCTATTTTCACAAATAATTTGACAGTCCACGCAAAGCTTGGAGATTGTCACACCAAGAAAACTGTGTTTGGCATCAATAATAAGATATGGCTAAGTACAATGCAGCTACAGTGGTCTGTGATTTATATTGTGTGTCTTTCTATTTTTTTTTTTTTTTTTTTGATCATATGATTGCAGCTGATACCGTTTGTATTTCATTATTGCACTGCTTGAAAAGGTAAAGAAATTCTGAGGTCCTGACATTAAACCCCAGATGATGAGAATGTAGTAAAACATATTTCATTTATAAAGTGGGACAATGAATAACAAAAAAAGTGGCAGTAGTTTATGGATATACCTGGTATATGAATGTTTAGGAGAAATAACAATTTTCAGAAGCGTCAAATGATATTACGTAAATTTATAGGATATTAGGGATGTATGACCATGGCTTATGTGTTCACAATATTGTGTTTTTTTCAGAAAAGAAGAAGTGGCATCCTTGCAGCTTGAATTTGGAAAACCATGATATAACTATGAAGAACAAATACATATCTATGGAAAACTGCACTTTGCGATAATGACTTTCAGTAAGAGGTAAGTTGATTTGGAGTTTAATCTTACATTAATTTTTTTTGGGGGGGAGGATGGGGGGGAAGGTATATTTCCCTTTATAAGAAACAATGATATGGTATATAGTCAAGTCCATTTGAGTATATGAAAATGTAAAAAAAAAAAAAAAAAAAAAAAAAGAAATAAAAATATTATTCAAGTTTAGTTTGTTGGAGGAAATTGAGATTTTGTATGTAAGCAGCTGTATTGATGTCCGAACAGTGTAGTAATGAATGATAAAGAATGAAAGAAATAGAGAGAATTATTAATATTACCAGTATTTTAGGACCAAGATGTATATTACATGTGATTATATAAAATAGAAAGATTGACCCACTGTAGTGTGTGCTAAGGTATAAGTTAACGTTGAGCCAAGGTTGATGTGCCGGTAGTGTCTGAATTCGATATGATAGCATCTCATCCTTGAAAATTGCAGTTTTCTTTAGATATTGTAGTCTTTGCTTATATTTTTATTTGAAGAACTTTCTTAATCCATTGGCCGTAGGTACATGTACTGTCCAGTGTATGTTTTTATGAATTTTGTTGCACACAAATGCCAACACAACAAAGAGTCAATTAGTAGACCCCATGTGATCTTGCCTGATTTCCATATTCCTTAAATTTTTGAGAAAGTTTTTGGTTAAGGTATACAAAAGGACTGCACTGACTAGGAGAAAATTGATTATAGCATTGTAGGCAATGAAAAACTACATTTTTTGCTATCAAAATTGATCTGCAGAAGTGAACCTATTTGAGTTTAACAACGAAAATGTGGCGCGCAGAATGCCGCGCCTAGTCTAAGTCTCCACTCAACTCTAGCAATGAAGTCCAGCCCTCCTCGCATTGCAGCAAACAACTTCGCTGCATCGGTACCCGGCATAATTGCTGAAATTGTTACAATATCTGGGAGAACACTAAACTCATTGTAATACAATAAACGTGTCCCAGTTGTAGAATTTTATCAGCAATTCATCACTTCCGAACAGCCGTCCCCTTAACTCTAAGGTCAACTCAACATGTATTTTGAAATGTAGGCCTAGTTAGTGGTGATCTGGAGGCCTCGGTAGGGATATATGGCAATTGGGAGGGTGTCCAGGGGTATAGCCCCTTGCTTTAAGAAGGTTCATGGTTCATACGGCAATCCTTCTGGTAGTCTGTACATTTAAGATGCAGTTCATCTTGTCAAATCATCCATGGCCAAATTTTACCTTGTGTTTTTTCATTCTCCACTTTCTTTATCATATGGCTTAGATTTTCAGTTTCTCACATTCTTTTGATTTTTAAAATGCCTGGAACGAAATCCCTTCTAACCCCAATCCCGGATCCCCACAGGATCCCCCAACATTGTTGGCAGGAGTTGGGGACTCCGTCTCTGATGGGTGCAGTCCTGTTGTAAACATTTACCAAGATGTTTTTTTCTAATTTATCAGCTGTGATACTGTTATTGACAGGATTATTGTTATATTATTCAAATACCAATAGCAATAAAGATTAGAAAAACATCATTCCGAAAATTAAGGAAAAAGGTAAATGGAAGAGATGAGTAGGACTAATAATTGGGACTCTTTAGTGACTAAGCACTTGTGGAACCATCTGTGTGTAAGCATAATTCAAAAACTAAAATCACAGTAGACATAACATGTTTGTCATGCTTTCCCAGCTGAACATTTGTTGGTAAACTTGAATTCAACTGTTGTATTAGAATTAGTAAAGATAAAGATTATTGGTGCATTTAGAAAAATCAAGTTACTACTCCTCTTAGAGTAGTTTTGGTGAGAAAGCAGTCTTGTATCTTGTGTTTCTAGTAGTAAATTTGGATTGCAGGCCAATTGATAAACTTTTAGATTCAAATATTCCACATTTTTGTTGCAGAAATGTGAGCATTGTATGTCTGAAGACTGATTGTATTATTGTCCACACAGCATTTGATAAACTTTTAGATTCAAATATTCCACATTTTTGTTGCAGAAATGTGAGCATTGTATGTCTGAAGACTGATTGTAAGATTTTCTTTCTCATCTTGTTTTGTCTAATAGGCTTGCTTGTTTATAAATAAGTAATTGGGATTAGAGATTGAAAAGTAGGGGTGAATGATTCAGTTTTAACCTATGCCAAGGTAGCTAGTATTGCTATCATTGTCATTTTTTTTACATATGATTATCTTGCAGTGATGCTGCTTGTTAGAGCAATGGTTCCAAACATCTTTACGCGTTGCAACCCTCTTTCTCCAACCTCCTGTTCAACACCCATGACAACACTAGCTATTCCATTTATGATATTTATTTGATAATTGTGAAGACATGATTTCATTGTATGTTCTTGACATAAACATTGGGTTATAATATTTTTCCTCTGGGCTTCACAATCCCTGTGCTAACCCTCCATGACTCCCTTGGATCTCAAAACCCACCACTTATGAACCAGCATGTTAGGGTGATAATGATTTGTAAATATTGTTGAGCTTTGCATTAGAAAAGGAAGAAAATGTGGTAAATACAAAGCTTATTTTTTTCTCAGGTTGTGGCTTAATTGGGTTGTCATAGTAGGAAGATTTAGTTGACAATCCAGAATTTCAGTTTCATGTGTCATATGAAGATGTGCTTGGATTCACCAATCAGCCTTAGGCATTTTTAATCTTGACTTTTGAGTATTTGATCTGTATGCCTAGTAGGCCAATGCTTTTGTTTCGTGGCACTGTACTTTATTTTGCTTGTGTGGAGTAAGTGTTTTGTGAATAGAAAAATCACAAGAGAAATTGTAGGGAAATGTGCTATTATAAGATCTCCTGTGTTCAGCTCAGGACCTTAACTCTGGATAATTTTGTTTTAAATTATAGTTGAAGATATTTGAAGTCTTATCATGATAGTTCATATTTTGATTGTATTGACCACAAGTTGTATAGATTTTTATTATATATTCTCAAAAGACAGAATGATTATAGGTATATTTCCACCTCTTGCAAATAGTCAAGAGTGAACTCATATTTGTTATAAATTAACCTGTTGGATCTGGTTGTATTACGGAAATCATGTTGCCAAAAATGGGCAGTGGGCTACGTAAGTAGCCAACATCCCAGACATGTGCAAACAACTATGAGAGCTGATAAGACCCTGTGCCTCACTCTTTCTCACTCTTTTTTATGTATGTTCTTATTTTCATGTTATGTAAGAGGAATGGGTGATAAGAGGAAAGATCAGCAGATAGTCATCATATGATAAAAACCACATGTGCAAAAAATCTTAAACATAATTTGATATTGAGGAATAAAATTTTTTTGATATTGATGATGATGATTTGGAAAACACTAATGATCCTATAGTTATTATAATTACATGATTCAAAAATTATGAAATTACTCATACATCTTTTAGTTTACCAGATAACTGTACAAAGAAATCTTTGAAAATACACTAAATATTGTTGGGAAGTATGTGTGTAGAAGTGATATTACATCTTTCCTTATATTTACATCGTATGACATTTCTCAAATGAGAAAAGTGGCACATAAATTATCTAAGTATTTTACCACACAGCTTGCCGGTTTTAGGACGTAGCCGAAAGCACTTGCCTTATTATTGTAGAACTTTGGTAGATGCCACGCCTTGTATGGGCTAAGCTTTTTTTTTTTTTTTTTTCACGAGCCAAGGATTGTTTAGTTAGATTGCTTGACTGCCTCACTTTATTATAGTGCATCCTGGTGATTCACTTGCTTATCTGCCTTGTTTTGTTATTATTTTGTTTTTTTGGCATGTAGTGATTGCACATTGACTTTCATTGGTTTGAATGCTTACTTTTTCAGTGGAAATGAAAGGGGAATAATAAGGGAAGTAATTGTTAGTTGATATAGCTTGTTTGCTGGTAAGTTTTAGGGATTTAAAATGTTGTTGATTATCATGGTTTTATTAAGTTTATTAATACTATAGTCTCATTGATAGTTATTTTTTATTGTTACTTTTTTTAGTGTTTATTTTTAGTCTACTTTTTTTTATTGCAATTATTTGGATTTGAGGGTTATGTTTTGCTCATTACAGTATGATTAGACTAGAAGTTTATGCATTTTATTTTTATTTGGGAAATTATGTTTGTATTGAAATATTTCTTTATATTGTGTTTGAATGTTAAAGAATGATTTTTAACATTTCTTGCATATTGTTTAGATGTATAACCTTTGAACTTTTTAATTCAAAGTTTTGATAATCTTTTATTTTAATTTGATCAGTTTTTATACTTGAGACTTAGATGATCAGAAAGAAGAGATCATTTGGTGGGATGCCTAAGACCCTATCACACGAGAGCAAATTATTGTTTACTTTCTACATTGTATGATATCTTCTCAGTATGCTTTTGTACTGTCACATGAGGGTCCACAGTTTAATCTGTATTTTGGCCGTAAACACTGAGAGAGACAGATGCTTTCCAGTACCATTCACAGTTGGCTACTATTGTAGTAATTATGCCCAAGGGGTGAGACAGAAGAACATTTCATAGAGATTGTGGACTTTGGTTTTTGGGAAGTAATGTGAGAATTGAAGAATTTAATAGGAAAACTGGCCTATGGTGAATGCAGATGACTGAGTGAGGGGTTGGTTCTTCACCATAACCTTTGTTTATATCTTGATCGAGTAAATTATGATGAAGGTAGTAATTATACTCAAATAAAATGATGAAGCAAATGTTTCATTTTTCTATGCAGCGTTTAGCGATAGATACAGCTTCAGTGGCTTGCTGGACATTTTCTTGAACCTGTAAATGTGTAAATTGTAGATAATTTGCTCTCTTGTGATAGGCCCTTTACATGAAAGTTTTACTGATTACTCTTCAGTTTATTCACACATGCACACTTACGCACACCCACATGCACACACGCCACGCACACACCACACACACACACACACACACACACACACACACACACACACACACACACACACACACACACACACACACACACACACACACACACACACATTTAAAAAAAAGGAGAAAAAAAAATGGAAGAGAAAGTGTCTGAAATGAACTTTTTCTTAATACAGAAGTGAAGTTGGAATCCAAACAAGTAATGTTTAAAGAGAATATAAAACTAGTAGCAAATTTTATTATTTAGACAGTGCCTCTATCAAGAAATCACCATGCTCTTGAAGTGGACTATTTTTAAGAGGGAAATTCACCACTTGCAAACTAATTTGGGTGCTGCATAAAAAAAAAGTAAAGATGAACAAGTGTAACTTTCCCAAAGCTTGAAGTCCTAATACATAGTATCTTTTGCAGTGTGGTGATGGCTAGGCAGGGATTCATGGGAAAGGAGCCGAGATAACTTCTTGAATTGCAAGCTACAACCGTCAGCATGTTGTCCAACTCTCGCAAGAAGTCGGACACCATGTCCAGCTGTGACAGTCTGGCGGGGAAGTACATAAAAAAGGAATCTCCTCCCGAGGTGTCCATCATTAACGTCTGGCCAAACGCAAGTCAGAGTGATTTGAGAAAGAGGAAGAGTACGGTCAATCCACCCTATGTTAGTAGCAGTAATCCCCCTTCCCACCAGGCCTCACCCTTAGTCCAAAAGTATTCCACGGGATCTAGGACACCAGTGAATGGAATGGCCCATGGAGGACTGGAAGGCAAATACACTCCAAATGTTGGGGAAGTCACGCAGCGGATGGGTGGCCTCCACCTAGGCAGCCGAGGGAGCCTTGACGGCATGTTAAAGCAGCAAGCACCCCCCTCGCCAGCTATGTTTAACCACACATTCATTAACCATTATACAGGATCTCAGTACAGTCTTGATCAAATACTCTATGGACCGAGTCATATCAGGTCTCCACTGGAAGCAACCACCCAGGGTATTTCGTACCCTTTCCTCCATCAGTCCGGTCAAAAGCAGCAGCAAGCACAGCAACAGCAGCAGCAGCAACAGCAACAGCAACAGCAAAGACAACAACTGTCTCAGTCAAATACTCACCTTGGGGGAGGGTCGCCTCAGCCCCCTTCCCCTCGCCTTGAACAAGAGCTTCCGTTACCTCCAGGATGGTCTGTAGACTACACTCTAAGAGGAAGGAAGTATTACATAGATCACAACACAAAGACAACTCACTGGTCACATCCCTTAGAGAAGGAAGGCCTGCCTGCTGGATGGGAGCGTATCGAGTCTCTAGAACATGGTGTTTATTATGTCAATCACATCACTCGGCAAGCCCAGTATGAGCACCCATGTGCACAACAATATCTTCCAAGAATTCCAGAGAACTCAGCTCTTGCCCAGAATAGAATGCTACCTATTCCACATCATACAGATTTCCGTCAGCCATTGTCGCTCATGCCAGCATCACCATACCTGCACGAGAAAATTCCCTATTGGCTACACGTGTATTCTCAAGCATCACCAGAACATGACCACAAGTTAAGATGGGAACTCTTCAGACTACCGGAGCTGGACTGCTACCAGGCAATGCTCAACAGACTCTTCAAACATGAGCTTCATGGCATTGTGATGAGCTATGAAATGTACCGTATTGCTCTGACAAAAGAGATTGAAAGAAGAATGCAGCAGATGAACACACCAATGGCAGGAGGGCCAGAGACCACAAGTGGGGTGACCATAACAGAAATAAAGGATGAGGATGCTCACAGTACTGAAAACGTCTCATCTAATGAACATTTCAAGCAGCAGATACTAAATGCAGATAACTTATTTGAGTCTAAAGTGTAATACTGTTTTTCTATTGTACTATATGCACTATCAATCAAACATAGAACAACTAACTCTGAATTTTTTTCCGAACTTCAAGCTTTTTGTGGCAGCTTTCAGTGGGCAAAACTAGTTTACTTTAGAACATGATTTTAGTCTTGTGCCTGTGATTATAGATTTACTATTAAATATTTGGCTGTGCATAGTGAAGTATTAGTTGTCAGTGATTGGTGTTGCACCCATTTTTTTTTTTTTTTCCCTTCTTTTTTTTCTTTTTTTATGTTACCAAAGATATGACCTAAGTTGGGCATTGCTTTGATTGCTTGTCGTGGTAGTGTTAACGTGGCCCTCCCCGTCCTGCACCACTGAAGTCTTGGGTGAGTGTCAGTCGATCTTTCACTCTTTAGTCTTCATGCATGCTCTTGCACTCTTAGTGATGGGGAGCATGGCATGCTGATGCATTGTGTCATTTGATGTTAAGAGTGAAATTGTGATAGTTTCTGGTTTATACCTCAGTTCTTCCTACTTGTCATTTTCAGGTATCATATTAATTAAACTTTTGTATCATTCTCAATCATTGCAATAAATAATTACTTCCTTTAAATGTATATGAAGATATTGATCTGTTGATGCTAGGATGGCATTTATACATGGACTGTCCACTGTGGTTTCAGATTATTAATTTTGTTTACAAGATAGCTTCACAGGTACTTAGTCACCAAGGAGTGAATTATGAGGACTACCTGGTCTCACCTGTTTACTATTTTCCTTGATTTTTTTTCTATAACTTATAGTATTGCCAAAGATGTTACCATAAATATTTTTACATTGATGATATGTTGAGGATAAAGCTTCACCTTGTGCAGCACCATGAGAATCAAAAGAAAACAGTAATATCATCTACAGTCACATTTTCTTTATTTCAATCCATCATTTTGTACATAGCCCATTGAATCTAGGTAGTAGGGATAAGTTTTTATGAAATGATTTGGCTGAGGTGTGGGTTATAGGAACATCTCGTCACAGGAAAAATTTGGATGAGGGACAGGTGACGGAAATGTCCCACCTTGGGAAATTGTGGCAGAGTGGCTGGTGATAGGAGTTTCTTGGCATGGGAGTGCAAACCACTCTTGACCATTCCATAAAATTGGAGTATACCACCCGTTTTGTAGTACAGTCCTTCTCCCAAAGTTTCTGCTTGATGTTTGACTGCAGATTCTCATTAGTATTAATAAGTCATGTGAATTTCTGGGTCAATTCAAGACTGTAATTCTGTTCATGCAGAAGAAAATCCACATTTTCTTGAATGTGTAGTACAGTGCAAGGGCTTGAAAAATGGCTCTGCCATCTGGGAATGTTCTCTGCTCTGTGGTTATCAATATGCAAGACATCATGAGAACACTCTTTCTCATGCTGGTTTACATGCTGTTCAAGTGTTCTGGATTCACTGTTTTCCCAAGTGAGCATCAGAGATATTGGTGATGTTGCTCTGATATGAGTAAGTGGCTTTTGCCACTGAAGATCACCTCTCTCAATTTTTCTTAGGTGCAGTCTTTGTTTCATGATCCAATTGTATTGTTTCTTCTTCAAAACATTGGTCATTTGTTGTTTCTTCAATGTCCAACATGTTGGTCACCTGGCTTCTTGAATATACCTCTGAAATAACGAGATTTTGTGCTTTTGTCGCTGTATATCTTTTCTTCGCAGACTCTCCATTTCCCTCTCTTTGGTTCTCTTGATGATGTTTGATGCAGGAAGTGGAGCAGTTCAGGTCAAATTAAGGAGTTAAGTGCTAAGCTAGGAGTTTAGCATTGGTCATATATTAGTAATATACTAATTACTACAACTAAAGAAACTAATTCTACTGTAGCGATGAGAGTTAAAGGTGTCTGAAGTCTAAAGATGTGAACATTTTAGTGTGGTGCAATTGATTTGCAAAAGGATGCATTTTTTTTCTCCACTATAAATTCAAGGGATAGGGTAAACAGATGATGCCAGTAAATGTTGGGGGGTCTGATCCCTTGGAGTTAAAATGTTTGTGAAACCATCATTGTGTAAACAAAATTGACAATACAGGACCAAAGTGGTCATTTCATATACCCAGCACCAATGGGTTAATCTCTATGGCTCAATCATCAGTTTATTTGAAGTTGATGAAATTACATTTTATCTAAAGGTCATTGCTTTAAAAATGTATCAGCATCATAATTTTACATCTAGATATAAGTTGTCTGTGTGAGTGAGAGTGAATGAGTGAGAATATGTGCATTTGTCTGAGTCTGTGAACATGACATCATGTGTTTGTGCATGCTTATCTGGATGCATATATGCATGGACTTTTGTTGTGTCTCTTGTTACATGAATGCATGTAGGCCTACATGCATGTGCATATGTGCTGAAAGCATGTACCCATTTTAGTATGTTGACATATTTTCATATTTGTTTCTTAAGGCCTGTATACTTTTCAAAGTTTGGGCATTAATTTAATTTTTAGAAGATAAATGTAAAATCACTTTTATTTGTTGTTCTGGCCTAACTGATTTGTGACAGAAAACTATGATTGATATATATATACTCAATACCAGCTAGGTCTCTGTGATGAACTAAAAACATGTTACATATCATAAAGCACCATATAGATAAATGTCCCATCATAAAAGGTGATTAAAAAAGAAATAATAAATGAATAGAAAAAAGATATATATGTATATGTATATATATATAAATATAAATATATATTTATATATACATATATATATGTATGTGTGTGCATATATATACATACATTTACATATACGTCCATATATATCTTATAGGATGTTTGTATAATTATTAAAGTTAGGTTACAGGTCAAATATGCTACAAGCAAGTTTATTTGCTTTTTTTTTCTTTCTTTTCCCCCCAAGGTTCTGTAAATGATTGACTATTTTTGTTTTCTTTTTCTTTTTTTTATGAAACAGAAATTAGATATCAATTGAAATATTGCAAATATGAAAAGAGAGAAAAAAACTGGTCCGTATTTTAATATTGATATCCTGTGATTACATTTTCAGGAGGAGAGTGTATCGTCTCTAAGGCACTACACTCACCAGTTTCAAGATACGTTACTTGTCATCTTCATTTCCTTATTCCTTCATCTTTTCAACGTGCTAGAAAAAAAAAAAAAAAAAAAAAAAAGGAGAGAGAGAGAGAGAGATTTGTACTTTGCATCTTTTAAAAAAATATTCTAGTCTTTCATTCATTGAAATTATTTAGCCATGGGTGTAAATGGAATCACAGAATCACGCGCTGTGTTGGAAGAGGTTACGGAACTGTTACTGAAGTGGGAGAAACACAGCAACACTCTGCATTCATTGGCAGACCAGATAATGGGCCTTGAAAGGTGAGTAACTTTATGGTTGAGATCATGAGACAGATGATATTCCTGATAACCCTTGAAACTCATATCTATGCAGTTTTCATACATGACATCTACACCACCTAAACAGCCCAGCGTGTACACATGCACGCACCAACCCACTCACACTCACACTCTCATTCTTACTCACACTCAACTCGTATGCACTCTCACTCCTGCTCTCACTCTCACACTCACACTCTCACTCTCACTCTCACTCTCACTCTCACTCTCACTCTCACTCACAAAACACATCAAAATATTAATATTTCATTATAAACAGTCAGGAAATAGTATTTTTTCCATTATTGCTTCAATTACAGGTGTGAAAAACAGAAAATAGCTGTTCCTGCTGACACCTACATTGCAGTTCGATCCACCATACAACAAAAGATAGTTGAAGAGCTAGAGAATCTTTCGGTGTTTCTGTAAGTTACATGTTATTTTCTATATTCTTTATGCTGTCTGGCAATTCATCTGCTGGGCCCGAAGTGTCGAGTTGGTTTTTAAAGATTGCTTTGTTAGGGGAAATCCAGGGTTGGAAGATCCATTTTGTGATTGGATTAAACAGTGATTGGATGTGGAAACCAGAAATGTGATATGTTAAATTATTATGTCTTGATGAGTTGCCAATTAAATTACTATGTCTTGATGAGTTGCCAAGAAACTGCAAGTGTTCATTTGGCATATTTTAAAGAATAAATGTCATGAACATTACATTGATATTGTATGTACATTGTGCATGAATATAAGTGTAGGGAGACAGAGAGAGAGAGAGAACAAAAATCCAGTTTTAGGAAAGGGAGAAGGACACTCACACACACACACACACACACACACACACACACACACTCACACCACACACACACACACACACACACACACACACACACACACACACACACACACACTCTCTCTCTCTCTCTCTCTCTCTCTCTCTCTCTCTCTCTCTCTCTCTCTCTCTCTCTCTCTCTCTCTCTCTCTCTCTCTCTCTCTCTCTCTCTCTCTCTCTCTCTCTCTCTCACATACATATATATATATATGTATGTATGTATGTACAATTATCATTATTATTATTTTATATCATGCATATGTGGGTTTGTGTGATGTACTGTAGTATGCCTGTGTGTATTTGAACATTGGTTTACCTTTAAATTGGAATGTGGAAATACATATGAATTTAGAGGTAGGGAACTGTCATTAAAGCTCAACCACTCTCCTTTTGTTTTTATAGGAACGAGCTGGAGGTTCAGCGTGACGCCATGGTTTCCCATATTGACAACATGGAAACCAAGTGCCAGACCATGCTAGAGGACAAACAAGACCAGTCGCTGAGGCCATCAACGGAATTTCCCTTATTGCAGACCATGTATTCCATTTACAACCACATATCGGTTATAGTTTCCATGAAGAAGATTCCACTCCATAATGCCAGAGTGGATGATTTCCAGAGTCTGCAAGAATTGCAGCAAATGAATCAGACAACAGAGTCAATCAAGACAGAGCTAGAGAAGGTATTGCATGGTCTAGTGTTATCGTAGATTCATCCTATTTTTTGGAGTATGATGAAAGATGAAGCTATTTTCTTGAATCAGCTATGTGATGAACTTTGTACCTTTCCAAGTTACTAGGTGATAGAACTTTAATATATATAACAGTGTTTTGTAAAGGGTAAAACTTGCAATTCCTACTTAATCAGTGTTTTTGAAAATTTTATCATCTTTCTTGTCATCATTATTATTATTATTGTCAATGTTTTCTCTGCTGAAACAGATATTTGATGTTATAAGGTATGTGAGTATTGGTTTTGACAGTTGCTCAGTATTGGATTGTTTACTTTTTTATAATGAACATGAATGAAGGCAAGAGAACGCTTTTGATACCAATGGTGGTGTTTGCATACGGCTGTGGATATTATAGTTGTATGAAAGAACAAAGGGCAAGAGAAGAAAATGAGGAGCGTGTCGTTATTTCTATGAATGTTTATCGTTATGCATTGTTGCCTATGTTAAGTTACCTCGTTGCTGAAGAATGAAGTGTCACAATGTTTTTTTTTCTTTCTTTCTTTCTTTTTTTGAGGGTGGGGGGTCTGTTGCAATAGAAAATATTTCTGAATTGACTGTGTTGGATACTTTGCTTCTACCGTAGGTTAATTTAAGGAAAAGAACGAGAAAACAGATTGTTTCCAGTATGAATTTCTTTGCTTATATGTGTTCAGTCTTTGTTGTCTGTTATGAATCAGATGCACAGACATTCTTCAGTATTTCATGTAGTCAAATTTGATGTTTATATTTAAGTGTGTAGTCTGAATTATTATGAATACTTTTCTTATTATTAGAAATTGGCAGTTTTGGATCGCTTGTGAAGCTTTCAATACATAAAGATGCTATTATATATGATTTTCAAATTCTTACATAAAATTTGAGGATCCAATTTGGCAAAGCTTAGGGGACACTCGTATATTCTTTAATCTTTTTGTAAGATAATGTGCAAGCAATGTCTACGTGTGACTGAAATTTGTAGAAAACAGAACTCTTATTTCTCTCTTAATTCTCTCTTATAATGATGCTGTATTATTATTGTTTTTATTGTTATTATTATTATTATTATTATTATTATTATTATTATTAAGATTAGTATTGGTATTGTTCTTTGCATTATTATTTTTGTTATTATTATTGTTATTGTTGTTATTATTATTGTAATTAAAACTATTATTATTATTATTGTTATTATTATTCATAAATTATTTTTGTTTCTCTAGAATGAATTGTTTTTCCTTGTTTTACTTATTAGCTGCTGGGCAAAATGAGCCCTGAATGGTAACCTCTGCCAGCCAGGTTTTGCTTTTGCTTATAATGTTCGAAAATCGTCACGGAAAGATCTTTGTTCCGAACACTGACAAGTACACGTATGGCTTTAAAACCTCGGCTAACTGGCATGGTGGTGGTGATTCAGGTGTATGTGTGTGCGTGTGTATGTATACAGCTGGTAGTCTAAGAGTTCAGTGCTCCTCTATAAATTCACTTTAAGGATCTTTGGTGAAGTTCCGTTAGTAGGTGGGGATACAGATGATATAATACTCAGTATTTTTACAATTTTTACAACCCTTAGGTAATTCTGCGTGATGAGAGTTCTTCCGTCGCTTTAAAGTAAGATTCAATCTCTGCTGAAATGTTATCAAATGTGCCTTTGTTTAACTTGGCATAATATGACTTTATACCATGCCCAGTTGTTTTATAAGATTACAGTTTATGAATATCCTCTCTGGTTGTTTTATTGTTCCAAGAAAGTGTGGAGTGTTTTGTCATATTTTTTTAATACTTGTAGGTTAATACTTTTTTAATATTCAGTATCTGTTGTTATTGATACAATATTTATACTATGAAAATAATGAAGGATGTGGCTTTCTTTGCTGATGTATTAACATGTAAATAGTGAACTCATAGCAATGCACTGAAAAAGATCAAAGAAATATCTGGTCATGATTAATAAATCAAATGTGCATTTCATTATAGTTTAGAATGGCATGCCTATAATGTTCTCATTTTTAATGTTCTCTGCTATTGGTTACATAGACATATACATATATAGTTTATAACAAACTTTTTTTGCATTCACTTTCGTTTTTTTCTTTGTTGATATGTTGAACTGCATCACAGCTCCCAGCTACAGATAAAAATACTCCAAACCACACACCCAGGTTATGACTCAACCTTGAGAATGCACCCCTTCCTCTCTCCTAACATTCTCCTCTCCATCTCCTACTGCAGTCTTATTCATTGCCAACCTCCCCTTCCTATCTACGACAAGAACTGGTCAGACCTTCTCCTACACCCTCCTTTTCTCTTGATCCTCGAACATCTATCCCCTCTTCTCCTTCTTACAGGAGATCCTTTGTTTCTCAGATCTCCCTACCCACCTCCCCTCCAGAAACTCTTGAAGACATCCAAAAATTCCTGGACATGACCCAAGAAAATGTTCCGCCCCCCCATCCACCCTCCAATCCCTCTACATTCAAAGCATTTGCCGATATCCATCCTCCTCCTCCTCCTCATGTTCCCCCCTCTTCCACTCTTTCCCAACACACCCCATCCCCCCCTTCTCCATGTGCCACATACCCTTTTCGTTCCCCATCATCCTTACCTCTCCCACCTGGTTACTCACGTGAATCCCTCCTGTCACAACAGCGTCTTTCTCCGGATTCCTCCCCTTCCGACGCTCTTCCTGATATTTCACCTCCTTCCCCAGTCCCCTTATCTCATCCCCCAGATTCTTCTCATGGTACTTCTCCAACAGCCGTCTCTACCCGCACTATCCATTGATTATTTCATTCTCTTTTACCTGTTTTTTTCCTTAAAGCAATGTTCCTATGGTTTCCAAAGCAACAGTTACACTACATTTCATCCAATCGCCCTATGCCTTTAACCCTTTCCTTTACTAATCTCCGATTTACTTCATTTGCATTTCATCTTCACCCTTTTCCATATCATACTCTCCTATAGCGCTCTACAGCCTATGACATTTAACGCTCTTTATCCTAATCGTTAACTCATTTGTACTCTTTTCGCTACAGTACTTTACCATAGTTCTATATGATCCTAGATGTGTAGCATATTTATGTTTCAACCATTAACCATATATGTTAAATGGGGCATTTACTATATTAAAAATAGAGATAGGCATAATGAAGAACTAACAGTTAAGAAAGATAAAAAAGGAACAATATCAAAAATATTAAAGCACAATTGTGTC